GGAATGCCTGTGGACTCCAAGTTCTATAAAATGATCAAGGAGGGATACAGGATGTTCAGTCCTGAGTGTGCACCACCTGAAATGTAAGCACCCAGCACCTCAAATCAGCAAGCATCAGCAGCGATGCAAAGGAAGGGAAGCTTCCATTCTTGCTTTAAGGCTTGTTGCACTGCCCCATTGTCTTTTTTTTTTAAGTTCTTTTCACTTTTTAAATAATTCATGCAATCTAACTAGCCGAACACATGCCTATGTTGTTACAAGCAATGAAATGCATTCATGCCTTGTACCATCTGATCACTTTGTCATGGCATCTGCTCCCTGTCAATAAGTTATTGACAGATCACAGAACGTAATGAAATTCTATGATTTTTCATTCAGATAAAGCAGTCAGTGAGATGTATGATGTACCACCAGACTCTACAGCATCTGCATTTGTGCTGTACTTCTTGACAGCAAGAGGATTGGCTACTGATCTTCTTTATGAGCCATCCCTAATTCCCTGTTTTGTAAATGGATTGAAACTTAGCAAGCTGTCAAGGAAAACTGTTCAGAGACTCCCATTAGTATTGAGTCCTTTGTTGTCACAAGCAAAGGTGTTACCAGCACTATTTCTATTCTTAAAAGTCATTTAAAGAAGGTAAACTGTGAGACTGGTTCACAGTTTTCTGTCAAAAAATAATGGAGATGAGATAAGAACTGTCAGGTTTTGCTCCTCAGTGATACTTAATTTCAGTATCTTTGCAGGTATGACATAATGAAGAGTTGCTGGGATGCTGATCCTTTACAGAGACCCACGTTTAAACAAATCGTACAGCTGATAGAGCAGCAGCTTTCCGATAATGCCCCCCGGGTAAGTTATGGATCATCAGTTTTTTGGACTCAAAGCAATTTCAAGCAAGACATTAGACTACAGCTGTGAGGAGCAAAGAGCCTGGGTGCTTCATTAATTTTCCAGTAGTATTTCTGTAGCTTTGCACTGTAAGTTTGGGTGGTAGAAATGTTGCCTGGGCTACCCACTTCTGCTTTATTGTGCCATTAGACAGTAGCTCTCTAAGCCTGTGCCTGAAACAGGTACCAGCTGGAGAAGACTCTGTGCATCGTTGGTGTCTCTCACTCAAAATAGACCTGGCACAACAATTTTGGTGTTACAAAATGCGATGGTACTGCATAAATTCATTTTATCTTAAACTACAAAAAAATCTATTCCAATGGGAAAAATCTGAGAAGCGAAGTATATTTAGCTTTTTATTATTATTTTATATTTCAACCAGAAAAACTTTTCTGGAATGAAAAGGTTGAGCTTTCGGTGCTCTTCTGCCTCTTCTCACTTACTTACCCTAGCTCTATTTGTATAACCTTGGAGGTATGTCGTGACAAACCGTATTCACCGTTGTTTTGAGCTTTTTCTGAGAGGGTAACTGGACAAAACAGTCCAAAGAAAAAGTAGAGGCACATCAGACACTTGGATTTTCTCTCGCGATAAGATTATGTGTTACTGGGGTTTAAAAAAGTAAGTTTAAAACCTTGTTTATAAATAAGTCTTCCTTTTACCTTCTGGATGCCTTGTTTGAGCACTAAATACGTGGCTTCCTGACAATTTGAGAAAAGAGGAAACTGAAAGCTGCTGGTGTTCGATTACATCCTGTAGCGTAGTTTTGGCAGATACAGGCATTACTAAAACAAAAGCAAGAATGTGAAGGAAATATTAGTGAGGTTTCTGGGGAGTTTAGTAATAACCTGAGCTGTATTTTTCAAGCTCAGTTGAAATTTGGTGTGCAGTTGGAAGCTGCACTGCTGTCAATAACGGAGATTGAGGTTCCTGACTCTACAAAAGAGCAGTTAAGCCCAGGACCTTTTGAAACTCTCTTTAGATGTGCAAAGAAACACCTGAGCTGGAACCCTTCCATGGCAGTGTGTAGTGCACAGTGGGAAAAGCCTAGGAAAGGAGAGCTCTCCAAGTAGGTGTGAAGGGAGCGGTCTGCAGAGTATTGACACTGGTCTTTGGCTTCTGCAGGTTTATGCGAACTTCTCAACTCCACCTTCTGGTCAGGGAAACGCTCCAGATCATTCGGTGAGGATTAACTCAGTGGGTAGCAGTGCTTCATCTACTCAGCCTCTCCTGGTACGCGAAGATGTTTGAGTGGCATCTGGAAGAAGAAGAGGCCAGATGTATTAGCTGTTTGTATTGTGCAGGGGGTGAGAGAGGGACAACTTCAATAATTTCTCTTACTTTTACTCACTACTACCACTGTGTAGCTGAAACATTGTTGTAATACTGTCCTTTACCACACATTGTTACACATAAACTTAATCTGCTGAGCACGGTTACAGGCAACATTGCAATGTTAACTGAAGCTGTATATATTTTGCTATATTGTGTGTATTTGCAGTAGAGAGCCAGATCTGAAGAAAAAAAAAACAACCAACAAAAGAAATCCTGAGCCAGGGTGTGGAACAAGATGACTACAGATCAAACCAAATCTGCAGTGATCCTTTTCTGGATCCGTGCCTGGAGAGCGTACAGTCATTTTCTAGTTAATCTTGTTTTGCTGAATTTAAGAAATAAATGAATATGAAGCTAGTGGCTTTGCAAACCCCTTTCCACATCCAGCCAAGCCTGAGATGCTTTCCCAGGCGGGTATCATAGGTTGGAGGCCCACAAGGGTGCTTTGTGTACCTGGGCAAGAGAGGTGAAGGAACTGAGACCTTTCCAAAGTTGATCTGCACAGCAGCAAACCCTCCTGGAAGCTCAGGGGTTTGCACCAGAGGAGGGGAGAAGAGCGTGGATCTTCATCGGTATTTCCCACCCATGCTGCCAGCCTTGCAGACCGGTCGAGAGGTTTCCATGAGTATATGCACTACTTCCCACTGGCCTCTTCCTCGCCAGGGACGGAGCTTCCCGTCACTAGGTCTCGCCCTGCCACAGAGCCTGAACCTCTCCCTGAACCTCTTCCGTGCCCCCCTGCCTTGGGAGCCTGAGGGCTTTGGTGCTTGTTTTGCTAATAGTTACGTCCAAAAGTGTTCACCAAAGATAGGTGGGCCTTGCCAAGTTGGTGAAAATAGAGGAGGAGGGCTGCTTCCAGTAAACTCTGTCTCTGGAGGAGAGGCCGTTTAACCAGCCATCTTATCTAAGCGAGAGCAGAGGCAAAAAATTCTCTCCTGGGGGCCCTTTCTTTATCTTGTCCTACCCAGGTGAATCTTTCCCACAGGCAGGCTTGGATAGGGCTAACTGGAAAGGGCAATTTTCCCCCGCCCCGAGTCGTTTCATCTTTCTACAGTAGTCCAGAGATCAGATCATAAGGAAGAAGAGCCTAACTGGGAAGCACTGAATTTATAAATGGGATAAAAGAAAGAGTCTTTTTATCTTATTTTCTTGTTTGACAGTCCTGAGGCTTGGGGTCAGTATCTGTTGAGCTCAGGGTTGTGCTCTAACCCCGTTTCTTCCCATTGGAAGCACTGCTAGTTTTCTTCCTTTGTTTCTGTCCCCTAGAAATTAGCAAAGGCATTGAGAGAAGCATTTGTCAGAGGCAGACCTATTTATTTACAATGCACTTAAGCACTCTGTAACTTATACTTTACCAGGATTTTGATTGAGTTTACATGCAATTTAAATGTGTAACTAACTGCCCAAATGCAAGGTAATTGTAAATACACACACTGGTAGTATATTTTGGGTTATGTGGAATACCACGCTCCTTCTATGACTGTGCATTTGGTTTATCGTTACAGGAACCTGACTTTCAGAGTTAAGTCAAAAATTAGCCATTTGCACTGAATTTACTTAGGCTGTTGCACCTTTCCAAAGTTAGCCAGTTGTTTGGAGGCACTCTTTACGCATACTTCTTGTTGAGCGTTTTCAGTTTAATGCTATAAAAGCTCTTTTGTAACGTGTTGGCTTTCAGAGCAACAGTAGACAAACTAGTTGTCATAATTATAGATGTCTCGGTACTTTACGGACACTTAGCTGAAAGAGGTTTGGGTTTTTTCGTTCTCGAAATTTATATTTTTATAATTTGGGGGGTTTTGAAACTTATTTTGCGATGGCTTGGTGTTTTGAATGGGTTTATGCATTGTTTTTGTAAATATGGAAATGTAGCAATAATGTCCTTTTGACTATTCTCAGTCCTTGAGTCTCAAAAATATTTTTTTATATATATATATGCAAAAAGTATATGTATAAATATGTAAGTGTTTGAAAGTTTATGAAACACTTATGGATATGTTGCTCAGTTGTAGAATTGCAGTTCAGAAAAGTTCAAATAAATCTGTAAATATGTATTCAAATGCTACTGACGTGTACTATGTTAAGATGGTATATTTTCATGTAAGTCTTAATAAATTCTTGGGTTGAAGCAAAATCTCAGTGTCTGGCCACACAGAGGTCAAGTTTGGCATTCTGAAACATTTTTGCAAATGTGTGCCAGAAAACCCTAATGTTTATTTGTTAAGAAAGTTCTTTACCAGTGAGTATATGGGACAAATACATGGAAAAAATTACAACTAGAAGATGGATCCTGTAGACTGCTAGTGCAGTCTATATGTCATGAATAATATTATTTAGAACTGAACAAAAATATCTCAGTGTTATTAAGGGTATGGTTCCAGAGGCAGTTGGAGCCACTCGAAAGCTGCAATGATGCAGAACGTTCCCCCTTCACTCGGACGCACGCACATGGGCACGCTCTTGTCCCCTCCTGCACGCTGGCACTGGAGCGTGCACTGCTCCAGCCGAATGCAATGCCACAGGGGAGGCTCCATGAGATACCAGGTGCTGCGTGGGTTTGGGGGGTCGTAAGGAGAAAACATAACGCTTCCCTTGCTGAGCAGGTACCTCACATCTTAGTGGGAAACCCTCTGCTTTAATTACTTCAGGTTTGAAACCTGACTTAACCTGCTCACGCTTGTGAGCTTGCATAAGGGTTTGCATCAGCATGGTTGGTGGGTGGTTTAATAGTAGGTACAGGGCATATAAGCAAAATTATTCTACCAAAACCACCTATAACTCATATGAGACAGAGACCTCCACTGTTGTGGGCCTGAAACATTTCTGTTCTGTCAACAGACCTCCTTGAAGAGCTCCCCTCCTTCAGAGCTTTCTTCCTTTTTTTTTTTTTTTCTTTTTTGCTTCCACCCAGGTCTTGGCTCTGTTCATTAAAACTAATTAAGGAAATTAAAAACTAATTTTGTCAGGAGGTGCCAGTTTGCCACAATTAGCATTGTTATAATTTTCTAATAATGCTTCAGAAGAGACCAAGATTGTGGCTGATTTCGAACCATTTTTTCCCCTGTCTTGTCTACCCTCACCCCCATTCAAGAAAAGTAGACTTCATACTGAGGCATCCCAGTAGCTGAATTGGTGCAAGTAATGTGTGAATTCTCATTTAGCGTAGCCAAAGGAGCTATTTTAGTATTTGTTCAGTTAGCACACCATTAATTTTATTTTCCTGAAATGGTTCCCTTTCTGAAGCAACCTAGAATACAGCATCTCTGCTCTCTGGAAAAAAAAAAAAAAAAATCTTTCTCCTATTTTCTTATTACAAGGCTTGCAATGATTACCGCCTCCATTCCTGTTCATGGTCACACAGACCATTTCCTCCTGAATTATTTTCTTGTGCCAGTTCTTAGCAGTAGCTTACATGGAAAAGCACATCAGGAAGGCATTTAATAAGTATTTTAGCTGTCCTTCAAAGCATTATTGTACCCAGATATAAAGAGAAAACACTACCATGTTACCAGCACGGACCGTCAGGACCATGGACCATCGTGGACCAAATATCTCAAGGGAGGGTGCAAAGAGGATGGAGCCAGGCTCTTTTCAGCGGTGCCCAGCAATAGGACCAGAGACAATGGGCTGTCCTGGTTTCAGCTGGGACAGAGTTAGCTCTTCTTTTTAACAGCCGGAAGAGCTCTGTGTTTGGGTTTTAGTCTGAGACTTGCTCTGAGAAGAACGCTGACAGCGCGCTCATGTTTATAGTTGGCACTGAGACCTCAGGGACTTTTCATCTTGCCGTGTTCTTGCCAGTGTGCAGGAGCACAACAGGATAGGGGGGAGCATGGGCGGGACAGAGGGTCCACAACTCTCCTTATGATTTGTGCTTAGACTTAGGATTGAGGGCCAAACTGGCCAATTAGTATTCCATATCATGCAGCGTCATGCCAGTATAAAAGCGAGGGACAGCTGGAAAGAAGGGCCTTTGCTCTTCCGGGACTCTCACTTTCAGACTCTCAGAGTGCTCTCTCTGTCTCGCTCTCTATTTTCAGGCCTCTTGCTCGTCTGGGATAGCGATATCGGGCCTTATCTGTTCTGGGATCATTAGTTCGGGACGAGACAGGCCTCCGTCAAGGGGTGGTGAGCAATTACACCATACATAGAATCATAGAATCATAGAAACATCATAGAAACACAAATATATCATATTTGTATATATTTATCATTGTACATATATGTATATATTCATATAGTAGTAGTAGTAGTAGTATTAAATTGTTCTTATCTCAACCCACGGGTCTCTTTTTCTTTTCTCCTTTAATTCCCTTCCTCACCCCTGGGGGACTGTGGGAGGGTGAGTGAATGGCTGTGTAGAGTTTAGTTGCTGAAGTGGCCTAAACCACGACATGGGGACAAACTGAAACACAGGACGTTCCCTCTAAACAGCAGGGAACACTTTTTTTTACTAGGAGGGTGACTGAGCACTGGCACAGGCTGTCCAGAGTGGTTGTGGAGTCTCCATCCTTGGAGATACTGAAAACTCATGTATACACAGTCCTGGGCTGTAGGTGGTCCTGCTTGAGCAAGGGGGTTGGACCAGATGACCTCCAGAGGTGCCTTCCAATCTCAACCCCCTTCTGTGGTCCTGCAATCCGCAAGGGCACTTTGAACAATCTCAGCTGTAACATTCACTTTGCCAGAAGTAGAAAAGCAAATCCCGCCCTTATACTGAACACTCGAGAGTGACTCTTCCTCTGTTCTCTTTACCAGCTAGAGAAGAAAATACTTGTAGGGTCTCCGGAGGAGAGGAAGATCGTGAACACACTATGGTATATGTGGAGTTAGTAAACAATATCATATGCATCATGACCACCAGATGTTTTTGTTTCTGGTTCTCCTTCACAGCTGTACACCATATAGGTTTTTGGGGAGGTTGTCTCATGATGTGCCTGGCCACGTCACCAGGGAACGACTAGTCACAACCTGGACCAAAGTGTTCACAGCGATCACTGGAGAGGTTGGACAACAGGATCCTTAATTCTACTGCATTGTGGGCTGAAGCCGCGAGAGAGAAACGTTTCCCTCTTCCTGTATGTGGATTAGGAAACTTCCTGCTTGTCCTGTGGGGAGGTCTGAGTCTCAACAGAAGGCAAGGAGCAGTTACATAGACCTTTTAGCTCCTGGTTTAGAACTGAAGCTACAACAAAACCATGAAAACCTGCTCTGCAGTTCGCTTTTGGTTTCCAGAAACTTCTGTAACTATGAAAATAGTTACAGATGACCTTCACTTGCCGTGTTTCCTGAGCACTAAGTTCTTAAAAGATTATGCTGTAACAAGTGAGTTTATGTCCAAAAATTGCTTTG